TAGGTAAGTATGTATTTATATATTTTTATTTACTTTTTGTCTGTGTCTCAAGGCTTGTGAGATCAAACCAGTCAAAATTAAAGGAAATCCTCCCTGAATATTCGTTGGAAAGACTGAAACTGAAGGTCTAATACTTTGGCCACCTGATTCAAAGAGCTGATTCATTGGAAAATACTCTTATGCTGGTTAAGATTTAAGACAAAAGGAGAAGGGGATGACAGAGGATGAAATGGTTCGATGGCATCATCGACTAAATGAACTTGAGTTTGAGCAAACTCTGGGAGAAGGACAGAGGAGCCTGGCGTGCTGCAGTCCATGGGGTTGCAAAGAGTCAGACACGACTTATCATCTGAACAACGAACTATTGAAAATACCTACAGAGGATTCCGTTTTCTGTTCTGACATGCCTGATATGGTCCTGGAGTAGACACCAAGCAGTCCTCCTCCAGATGCCCCCCTGGGCTCTCGCGTTGGTTCGGAGCCAGGGCGTGTGGGCACCAGTGGCCAGAAGGAGGAGCTGGTGTGCACGGGGCTTTAGAACCTGGAGGCCAGGTTCTGCTGGAAGCCAGCAGGCAGCTGCTTCAGGATTAGAGAGGGAGCCAGGGAGGAAGGACTTGCCAGAGAGAACAAGCAGTCCTGCTGGGCAGATGGTGGGATACCGAGAGACTAAGGCGAAGAGGAGGAGAGAAGGACACCAGTCAGAGGATGGGGTGGGGACGGGATGGGGGGTGCCGGAAGCCGGCACACGAGATCTCACCCATGACAAGGTCATGAGGAGAAAACCTGACAGGCAAGGCGATCAGGTTTTCAGGGATTTGGAAAAGCTGCCCCCGGTGCTCACCTTAAAGATGATATCTGTCTTTCTGATGCTTGCTTCAATAGACTACTCCCTAATTTCTGTGACACAGGCAGAAGGCCTTCCCTGATCTCTTCCCAAATAAGAATCAATTTAGAACTTTAATCAATAAGTTTCCCAGATGGTGGTATTTTATGAGATTATCCAGGGTGAAAGGAGTGTTTTAATTTAAACTCCTTTGCTGGTAGTTTGTTAGCCAAATGCATTTATGCCCTTGGTACTTATATGCATGGTTGCTTATAATATCTTAATCATAAAATAGCATAAAGAACCTGATTATATAAAAGCCCTAATAGACATAGACCATTTCTGAGGGGTGAAGGAGTCCTATTAGAAAACATAAGAAAAATTATTCTAAAGGTGGTTATTGGGTTGACGTTTGCTTGCTGTGTTTTTGCTTTTAATGTGCTAAGGTTGTGTTATAGAAACCGTTGTTAATATAGTTAAAGATCTAGAGAAATAAGAACTTAGCCCTAGTGTGGTAACAATGAGATGGTTGTTAATTGTCAGCCAGGAGTGCTAGGCAGAAGCTGCCTCACCAAAGTCGCAGAGTCAGTGTGGGGTAAACTTCTTAGATAAATGCAACTGACAACTTCTGCAGAAGGATTAATTTTTGTATTAACAAGGTTATACTTCTACTCTGTACTGTTGCCCTATGAGACTGCTACCTTTCAGTTAAGGTCACCATAGAAACAGAAAATAGGTTTACATTCACCTGACTTGCATAAAATGTTAATAGGCCCCAAGGCCAGAAGATAATGTACAAGACCCTCGTAAACAAAGAAGTATGCAGAAAACACCCTGGTTTCGTGAAGAACAAACTGATGTAATGTTAAACTATCTTCCCCTTAGAAATGTACTAATTTAGGGTATAAAAGCCACGGTAAAAAATAAGGCATTGCCAGACTCTGCCAGACCCTGCAAACACCCCTGTCTGGTCATTCTCTCTCTCTCTCTCTCTCTCCCCCTCCCTCGCAGACTTGGCCCTATCAAGGCTGGTCTCACGTGTCTTCTCTCTTTCTCTCGCCAAAGCCATTCATCCTGAGGGTATCCCCTGGATCCTGCCGAGTCTAGACCCAGGCAGGGGGGCAGGGCAAGTCTGTCCATCCGATAAGATGCTTTCAAATATAAATAGCTGAAAACACACTTCAAAAAAATTTTTTAAGACATTTTATCATTATGGATAACAAAGACTCCAAAGATAGAACAGGGCCAGCAGCTCAGTAACATCTTCTACAAGTCAAGATGCTTCCATCTTCCAACTGCCCCATTCTTAGCAAGTCTACTCAGCTCAGGGGGCTGTCCTCATGGTCACAAGATGGCTGCACTGTCCCAGGTGCCCCATCCAGATACATCACCTTCTCAGACCCTCATCCCTTCTAGTGCTTCTGTTTTCATCAGGGAGGAACCTGTCCTAGAATCTAACTCCAGTTGGCTTCCCTTCACATCCCACTGCCCACACTGGGTGGCAATGCCCATCCTTGCCCAGTCACTGGCTGGAAAAATACACTTTAGTACTGGCTTCTGCCAGGGGTGCTCAACCCTGGGAGAATGTTAGAATCTTCTAGAGAGCTTTAAAATATATATATACTTTAAAATTTTGTGTGTATATATATAAATATAACTTTGTAAGTTTTCTATATACATATATATATTAATACATACATACATGTAATGTATTCATGCTCAGTTTCCACTCCAGAACATAGAATCAAAGGCTCTGGATCCTTGATAATGATGTGTGCAGGGAGAGGGGTGGCTGGGGGGTGGGCAAGGAGGCAGTGGGGGCCGGGGAGCTCTCGGGGCCCTGACGAGGGATGGTGGCCTACCTTCCCTCAGCTCCTGAATGGTTCTCCCTGCCTGCGGGCAGATTCTCCATCATCTGTGAGGCACCACCCACCTTCCAGGTGCTTTTCCAGGTGTCTGTTTATTCCTGTGCTTATTGTCTGGTCTGTACAAGTGGCAGATACTTGCTGCCCAATATCGATGCTCCTGGGCTTCCTTTGTGGCTCAGTGGTAAAGAATCCACCTGCCAATGCGGGAGACTTTGGTTCAATCCTTGGGTGGAGAAGATTCCCTGGAGATGGTAATGGCAACTGATTCCAGTATTCTGGCCTGGGAAACCCCATGGACAGAGGAGCCTGGCGAGTTACAGTGCTTGGGGTCACAAAGGGTCAGACATGACTGAACAACAACAGTGATGCTCCTCCTTCTGCTGGAAGAGGGGTGCTACGAGTGGAGGTGACCCGTGTGTGAGCCTCTGCATCTGCCCCCCCGCCTCAGTGAACCCCCAAGGCCTGCTCTGTACAGACCACCATTAGCGGGGGGCGGGGGGAATTTCCGGGAGCAGAGCCCCACCAGCCTCCCGTGGCATTCACCAAGACCACTCTGAGGTCAGCCTGTTCCTGCAGCATCACCTAAGTCACCCCTATCAACCCCTTCCTAAGACACCCCAATCAAACAAGTCTCCTGAGAAGCACAGACCCTGTGTTTTTTTCACAATGTCCCCAGCACCCAGGACTGTCCACTCAAAAAATTGCTGTTTTGTTTTTTTGTCTCTTGTGGTTAAGACTCTGTACTTCCAATGCAGGGGCCATGGGTTTGATCCCTGGTCCAAGAATTAAGATCCCACAGGCAGTGAGGCATGGCCAAAAAAGTAAAAAATAATTTTAAAAAATTTTGCTGAAGCAACAAATGAGTGGAGGAAATCTTCCCCTCTGTTTTATAACAACAGCAAAAGAAGAGACTGGGACCACAGCAGACTGCTTGCTTGTTTTCTGTCTGAGAGTCTAAATACTAGAAACAACAAACAGTGGAACCAAAGGGTGCTTTGCCAAGGTTTCAGCTGCCCGGCCAAGAACCGGGATGTCAAGGTGCCCTCTGTGCCCTCTGTCCAGTGTGATGGGGGTTGTGAGGAGCCACCCAGAATGTCACCCCCTCTCACTGGTGACCTGTGAGTTGGGATGGTTCTTGGTCATTTACATTTTGGACAATGGCAATAGTTTGGAAAGGCTGAATCAATCATGCAAATTTTTTTTCAGAGCATTCCTTAATCCAGGAAAAAAACAGTAGATGGGATCACAATACGGTGAGAACAAGGTTTTTTTCATTGTTTTCTTTTGAGTTTAAATCTAGTTAGGAAATAGGGTTAGTCCAGAACAGGTCAGGTTTAGGACATCACAATACAACAGCTTAGACTGTTAGTCTTGTAACAGAGGTGGTAAGTGGGAAGAGGAGGAGGACGGAAAAGGGGGGTGACAGTGACTTTTCCCAGAGCACAGAGAAAGATGCAGATCAGGTGTTTGGAGACCCTGAACCATCTCCTCTCCAAGTTGCGTGTTTCCAGCTCTCTCGACACCATCTCAGGCAAGGTTTTGAGGACACATCCCTGCGGATGACACTTCCATGGTGTTGAGGAGGAGACGTGGAGACGCAGCCCCTGTGAATGGTGCCGCGAGACCAGGCTATGCCGCTTCCGAGCCTGGGCTTCCTCCTCTGTGGAGGGTGCATAGAGCTACTGGTGGTGGGGGTTGGGGGAGGAGGGGTGGGTCCAGTTGAGCCTTCCTCCTTCCTCCGCCTCTGGCTTTAGGATGGTTCTGCTCAGGGAGGTCAAGAGACACATCGCTTTTGAGCAGGATGCTGTCTGTCTGTTAATTTGGCTTAAATCTTACTAGATGCAGGAGTCTGGAGCTCAGGGCCGGGGGGCCGGAGACTTTAATTTGGGAGGAGGAACTGGGGAGGTGGGGGCACTGAAGTGTGGGGTCCTGGGAACCCAGAGTGAGGGGGAGAGTGCTGGAAGGAGGGGTGTCCGGGCAGGGGGCTGCCATGGGAAAGAAGTGTTTTGGGCAGAGAGCAGGTGATGGCTCAGCCGGGTGGGGGATGGAGGGGAGGAGGGTGGGGACAGGGCAGTGACTCAGGGCAGCGGTCTGGGGAAAATTTTGCTTTCGTTTTCAATTATTTGGATATTTGCAAAATAAGTAACAGGCACACAAAGAACATCCAGATGTAAGGTACAGTTCTGGCGAGGCAAAAAAGGAAAGATGACCTCAACAGAAGTAGGTTTTTATTCAGGCAAGGAGGGGCGACAGTCGGCCTAACGACCAGGCTGAGGGATCAGGGAGGCTTCATACTTATAGGGAGGAANAGCACAGTGAGGCCAGGACAGTGCTTCAGTGACGGGGCATCTGTGGGGGACACGGAGGGCAGTGAGGCCCTTGTCCAGCCCAGGGGCTCCCCCACCCCTGCCTCCCACCTCTCACCTTGGCCGGGCTCGGTGGGTATCTGGCTCTGAGGGTCTCCTCGTTCAGCAGAGGCCTCACCAGGCAGGAGCGGCGGTGCGAGAAGGTCTCGAAGCTCTTCCTGCCGTGGTAGGACCCCATGCCGCTGTCCCCTGTGGGGGCACTGGCTCAGTGTGGCCCGAGACCCCGATGCCCCTCCTGTGCCCCTTCTGCCATCCGCCTACCCGGGCGGATCCCCGATCCTGTCCAGCCAATCCCCAACCTGGGGTGTCTGCCTCACCGCCTGCAGCCCTGGGCCTGAAGAGTCTCACCCCGACCGGCCACTAAGTGGCTCTGTGGCCTCTCTCAGGGCCCAGGTGAGAGTCTCGAGGTTCATTGTGGCTTTTGGTTGTGCCGGCAGAGGGGGGTGTTGGGGGAGTCTGAGGCTCAATCCAGGAATGGGGGACACCCGGGGGCGGGGCAGCAGGTGGCAAGTTCAGCCCCCAGACTCACCCACACCCCCGTAGGGCAGCGAGTGCACGGTGATGTGGACGATGACGTCGTTGGCCGTCACCCCGCCGCTGGAGGTCTCCGCGATCATCTTCTTAATCACCTGCAACGGCCTCCCCCCCACCCCCGGCCTCAGTGTCCAACCAGGACCCCCCCAGCTCTCCCCCCGGTGTGAGTCCAGGAGCCGCAAGGATGCGAGCTGGTGGAGGCCGAGCCCCAGCCTGGGGCCGCTCCCCCCACCCCCAGAGTCCCAGCCTGGGTCCCCCACTCTCCCCAAGGGGATTTGTGCTTAGATGGGAAGGACAGAAGTTCCCACACTGAGGATAGCACCAAGCGGGTCAACATCTCAGTCAGTGCTCTGTCCAGACTTCAGAAATGAGGGGAAAGGGGCTCAGGAAGGTTAGGGGACTTGCCCAACACCACACAGCAGGGAGTATGGGGCTGGGATCTGTTCCCCGGGTCTTCATTTGCAGGGGTGCTGAGCTGGGGTCCCAGGACCCTGGGGAGGGTGCCTGGCCCACCTTGTCGTTCGGCGAGAAGACGTAGAGCGCCAGGGGCTTCTCGCGCTGGGAGATGAATTGGATGGCCTCCTCCAGGCTGCGCACGCACACTATGGGCAGGACGGGCCCAAAGACCTCCTCCTGCATCACCGGGGACTGGGGGTCCACGTCCATAAGGATGGTGGGGGCTGGGCAGGGAGGGCCAGCATCAGCCAGTGCCCAGACCCACCCAGGCACGTGGCCTTCTCTCCCAACCCTTTACAGACGAGGTCCCCGGGCTCTTCGAGGGGCAGGAGGAGGCCCTCCAGCTGGGCTCCACCCTGGAGGGTCATGGGGAGGACAGTGGCATAACCAGTATGGGGGTCCATGGGGGCCCCACTTCAGGCCACATGAGCCCGGCTGGAGCTCCTCAGCCTCCCAGCAAACTGGGGGCCAAGTGGGCCCCTATCTGCTGACCCCCGAGCCCAGGCAGGAGGCTCCTCCCACTTGGCACACCTGGGGCTCCCATGGCCTCTGCCGCCAGCACCCTCTGCTTTACGCATTGGGGGTGGGGGCCTATGGTCTGCAGAGGGGCCTCCCAGGTGGCATCCAGCTCCTGCCCATGAAGAGGCCTGGAGTCAACCAGGGCCATGGGTGAAAGCGGCTTATATGCACCGCAGGAGTTTGCCTGCCCCTCAAGGGTCTGTGCCCATTTCTGCCAGCCCTTCCGGAGCCCAGGCACACATACCGATGTAGCGGCTGGCTGCATCCCCAGTGCCTCCATAGGCGACCTTCTGGCCCTCCAGCAGGCCCATCACCCTCTGGAAGTGCTGGGAGTTGATGATTCTCCCGTAGTCCCTGGACTTCTTGGCGTCCTCCCCATAGAACTCCTGTGAGGAGACGGCAGGCTCCAGGTGAGGACTGGACCCTCATCATGGCCACAGGCTACAAAGCCACAGCGACTCCAATGGGAACCGCCTGGTGGAGCAGTGCCAGTAAAAACTACGGGGCTGCCACACCCCTGCTGCCCACCACCTTCCCCAGGGCATGAAGTGCTGCTGTTTGAAAGAAATACATGCACGACGTCTGGACATCACATTGGGCCCAAACATGCGTCCACAGCACGGAGGACGGAGGGGACACGCCACATGAGCAGCAGCTGCCTCTAGCGGGTGGGATTCCAGGTAGAGCTCTTTTCCTGCTCTGTGCTTTTTAATCTTTTCCAAATTACAGTGAGTGTGGATTACTTTCATGATCAGAAAAAAAATTCAGTCTTTTCTTTAGTCCACGCCCATCTCACTGCCTGGCAGCCCATCACCCACCCCCTGCGCCAGCACTCACTTTCAGGGACTTTTTGAGCTTCTCCACGATTTGGCTCTGGATAGAGGGGTCACACAGGATGTAGTCGGGGGCCACGCAGGTCTGGCCACTGTTCATGAACTTTCCCCAGGCGATGCGTCTGTGAGAACCCCAGGTTACAGGGCATTCTGCCAGCCCTGGGGAGGTGGGAGGGGGCTCCCTGGGAACAAGCCTCTGGTCTGGTTAGCCCAGGGTCAGGCTGTAAGGGGCTGAGCTATGAGCTGTCCATGGGGATGGGGGAGGGGGTGCGCCTCGGTGCCCCACTGCCTTCCAGATTCCTGCCAAAGCACACTCATGATCCTGGATGTGATCCCTGGGCCTGCAGTGACCTCACTACCAACTGGGAGGAGGATGTCTGGGGCAGGGGAGCTGGGGTAGGTGGCCTTTGTACCCCTCTTTCAACAGTCTTGAGCCCTGCATGGCCAGGTGTCACCTGCTCAGGGTCCCCACGCCCCAGAAGGCCACACATGCAGGGTGTGAAGGGGGGTAGGGCTCTGGCCCGACGTCCCCACCCCTGCAGGAAGTCTTTCCTGAACTCTCTCTGTGAACATGGTACCCCACCCCAGCTCCTGCCAGGACTGCAGGTGCCCAAGCACAGGGCCATGTCGGTGTTGCTTGGGGTACCCTGCTGTCTGCCTAGGTTGGGGGCAGCCTCTCACCTGCAGGCAACGTCCAGATCGCAGTCCTTGTCCACATAGCAGGGATTCTTGCCCCCTAGCTCCAGTGTGACAGGGGTCAGGTGCTTGGCCGCAGCCATCATGACGACCCTGCCCACCCCGGTGCTCCCGGTGTACAGGATGTGATCGAATCTCTCTTTGAGCACCTCCGTGGTCTCAGCAACACCCCCATTGATCACAGGATACAGATCCTTCCAAGCAAGGATGGAGGCGAGGCTCAGACACGGCCACAGCCCCCTCCTCACCCTCCCGGGCAGCCACCACCGAGCAAACTCCCTCTCCTGGCTTGGGGGGTCCATTCTCCTCAACAAGCTGTCCTCGCCCCACCCGTGGCTCGGCCCGTGGCTGCAAGAATTCACTATTTCCCCGCCCCAAAGACCCAGCCCGGCCTCAGTTCTCAGCGTGCCGGGGGAGCCCGTCACCTGGTCCAGGTACTGGGGGAGGATGGCGGCCAGAAGGCTCGCCATGTTCTCACTCAGCTCCGACGGCTTCAGGACCACCGCATTCCCTGCAGAGCACAGAGAGTCGGGACTGCACCAGGGCCACCCTGCACTCTGTCCTCCAAAGGACCCAGGACACATGGCAGGAGGCAGGGCTGCATGGACATCCGAACCTGGCTGGGCCTTGGGCACTCAGAGGCCTGGCTGAATACTCTGGTCCTTGCAGCCTCCTGTGAGAACTAGCTCCATCAAACCTCTCCCCGACTGCAGGTCCCATCTTTGCCCAGGCCTCAGCACCCCAGACCCCTTCCTCTGCAGTGGAGGATGGGGACCCCTCCTGGCTCCCCAACCTGGAGCGGGGCCCACGGTACCTGCAGCAATGGCGCCCACCATGGGCTGGATGGTCAGGTTGAAGGGGTAGTTCCAGGTTCCGATGATGAGGACCACGCCCAGGGGCTCCGAGTGGATGTAGGCCTCATCCTGCTGGGTATGAGGGGTCTTCTCCACAGGCTCGTCAGCAGCCCACTCAGGGAGTTTCCTGATCATGTAGTCAATCTCCTCCAGGACATACACAATCTCCTCGTAGTAGGCGGTCCATTCGTTCTAGAGAGAGGGCTCAGTGAGGCTCACCCCAGGGTGAGGGCCATGAAGTGGGGGCTCTGAGCAGAGGCTCCAGGGCCTGTGGTGGTCCTGCTTCCCAGCTCTGTGACCCTGAATGAGCTTCCTACCCTCAGCCTCCAGATCTGCAAAATGGGAGCAAGACAGGACCTTATGCTCCAGGTGGGCCCATTTAGAACTTGATTTGTTCAGCTGCAAGGGAGATATTCACTGCAAAATCCCCAGCCCAGAGCACCTGCCAAGAAGGGACAGGGGGTGGGACTGAGGATTAACCTTTGGGTGGTGAGCTTCGAGGGCCCCTTTCTGCAAGTGCTGGGAGCTCAAGCAGGTTAGACATGTTGAGTGTGAGGGGCCCAAGGGGACTTCAGACCTGATTTGAGGGTCCCTAGTGAGTCAGGGAGTGCTTCCCTAGTGGTTCAATGGTAAAGATTCCGCCTGCCAATGCAGGAGACACAGGCTCAATCCCTGGCTCGGGAAGATGCCCTGGAGAAGGAAATGGCAACCCACTCCACTATGCTTGCCTGGGAAATCCCATGGAAGGGGAGCCTGGTGGACTACAGTCCATGGGGGTCCCAAAGAGTCTAACAACAAGCGAGTCCAGGGGAACAGAGCTGAACAGTGTCCAGGAAGGCTTATAGATGAAAACAAGGCTTGAACCCAGAACAGAGCCCTAAGAAGACCACCTTGAGAAAGTGGCTACAAGAAAGATGCGACCAAAGAGAGTCAGGAGAAAATCCAGGAGACCCTCAAGCCAGGGGAGGAGGGACTGGGCACACCATGGCAGGGCGTGGGGTGGGAAGGAAGCCAGTATGCAGGGTGGGGAGAGAGGGAGTGCAGAAGGTGTAATAAACAGCTCTGTCTCGAACTGTGACTGTGCAGACCAAGATGGAAGTTGTGAGGTCAACCACTTGGATTTTCTTGCCTTTGGTTTTTGTCTCAAGGTTAGAAATCTTGAGAGATTAAAAAAAAAAAAAAATTCAGTAGCAAAGGGCCGGGAAGCAGAAGGCTTGTAAGACCGGAGAGTGGAAGCAGGTCCAGGTGACTTGGGGGCAGTGAGGGGAAGGGGCTGAGAATTTGGAGGGGTCTGATTTTGCTCAGAGAGAGGAAAGGATGGGGAGGGAGGGCAGACCCCAGCAGAGCGGCCAGACTGAGCTGTTTCCTGGTGTGGAGAACCCGGGCCCCACATGGGGCTGAGAGATGGAGGAAAGAGAGGCTGGAAGGGGTGTCCTGTCAGCAGGTTAAAGTGGTGGCCTCGTGCGCTGGGCTGGGTGGAGAAGGGAGTGAAGCCAGGAGCGGGGATGACAGATGGTGGAAAAGAGCCTCTGGCCCTGTGCAGGGCACGTGGACCTCGGGCTCGCCTCGTGAGCAGGGGGAGGAGGGCGCACCCCATCCCAGAGGCGCGCAGAGAACTAGGTGGCTTCTCTGTTAAGGGGTAGAACACGCCACCCCCACCCCCGCGCGCAGCGGACGTCCTCGGCGCACGCAGTCCGCGCCTCCGGTGGTCGGGCCCAAGCACCTTGTGGAGGTCCGCAGCCAGTGCACCCACGAGGTCCTTCTCCCGCTCGCGAATCAGGCGCCGCAGCCCCTCCAGCTGCTGGACGCGGAACTGGAGTGGGCGCGTCCGACCTGAGTTGAAGGCGGCTCTGGCCCGCTGCACCACCTCGCTGATTGCGCTCATGGTCCCTGGGAACAGAAAGCTTCTTGCAGCGGGGAGGAGGGCGCCTTCCCACCGGGCACGGGCACGGAGATCTGGGGTCCCCAGGGCAACACCCACCCTTGCTGCTGATTTTATAGAATGAAGATCTCCCTGGGATCACCGGGAAGTGGCATCCTTTTTGCCTTCTCAGCTCCCTAACCCCGCAGTATGGACTGTCCTGGTTGGCAGGCTACCCCTGCCCACCAGCAGATGATGGACCCTCACACTGGGGACCCAGCAGCGGTGACCTGGAGTCCTAAGGTTGTCTACACTTGCTCACCGTGGGGTCTTGGCAGTGTGCTAGGGGCAGGCCCTTCTTGGCATCTCTCAAGTCCCATGCCCACCTCTACTTGTGTGTGGAGCTGTTGACACTCCCAGGGCAAATCCTCCAAGTGCTCTCCAGGCACACCTGACCAGGCCGGTCTCCAGATCAGATTAAAGGGCCCAGGTGGTGACTCCACACCCACATTGAGTAAAGGAAACCCAGCACCAGGACACACGCGTCACCTTTCTGACTGAGCCTTATTCTCAAAAGCACTGGTGATTTCTTCCCAGACAGATCCAGGCTGGCTGGGTCTTTAAACTGTCAGACATGTCCCAGGCACGAGGAGTAAGAAACAAAACAGGCTACAGACAACAGATACACCAGGCATGTGTGCACTTGAAAGAGCCTGTAGGGGTAGGCCCTGGCATGGCGATCTTTTGGTGGTGGGGTAGGGGGTAGGGGGATGGTGGATAAGAGGTAATCTTTGCTTTCATTTTTCTGAAGGGCTTCACTTTTCTGCAGCCAATTTGCATTTTTAAAAAACGTTTGTTAATTTGGGGGGACTTCCCTGGCTGTCCAATGGTTAGGGCGCAGAGCTTCCACTGCAGGACTGCAGGGGGTGCAGTTTTGATCTCTGGTTGGGGACCTAAGATCCTGCACGTTTGTTCACTTTATGAATAGGCAATACATGCTCATGGTAGAAAATGTAAAAGATACAGAAAGGACACAGAGAAAAGTTAAGTGTCCCTCCCTCCTCTTCCCCAGCAATTCTTGTTGTCCTCCCAGAGGTGTCCACCCACTTTCAGACACAGTGTGATCTCTGACAGCAGAAAAAAAACCCAGTAAGGCTATTTCCACTTAAAAAAAAAAAAGACATTATATGGGGCTTCCCAGGTGGCCCTCGTGGTAAAGAACCCACCTGCCAATGTAGGAGACATAAGAGATGCAGGTTTGATCCCTAAGTAGGAACGATCCCCTGGAGAAGGGCATGGCAACCCACTCCAGTATTCTTGCCTGGAGAATCCCATGGACAGAGGAGCCTGGTGGGCTACAGTCCATAGGGTCACAAAGAGTCAGACATGACTAAAGCGACTTAGCACTGCACGACATATACACAATATGTATGGTATATGTGCATGTATTATTATACATGGTATATATATACCATGCCTTCACCTGAACCACCGTGTCTGCAGGGGTCAGCATCCCCTTTGAGCCTCATAGACATTCTCACTCTGAAGTGCCCGCGAAGAAGGAGCCGCTATAGTCCACATTACCAATGAGGAAAGTGACGCTTTCAATGAGAGACATTAAATGCTCTCTCTCTGGTCTCACAGTTCACAAGCTGCCAAGTCAAGACTTGAACCTGCTTCTATCTCTATCTGCGTAGTCCCTTTAACTATGGGACTCTTCTGCCTCTGGGTGACTGAATCAAGCCTCCTCACCCAGTGTCCCCAGGTCCCCCTGCTCCGAGGGCCCCCAGGGGCCCCACCTCCCTGGAGCTGCTGGACGTGAGCTTCGGACCTTTGGCACACAGCTTAGATGCTCAGAAGATGCTCCTGGGTGTGGGAGGATCAGCTGCAGGGGTGGACCACTCCCCGCCAGGCTGCAGCTAGAGGTCTCTAGGAGGAGAAGAGAAGGGAAAGAGGGTTACCTTCGACACAGGCTCTCCCAGGGATGGAGCTCCAGGAATGGGTGTCAGCTTAGAGGTGATGAATTTAAGGACCCTTCTGCCGGTCCTGGGAGTCCCTCCCCAGGAAGTTTGCGTAACAAGAGCAAAACAGCTTTCAAACTTGGGGCATTGTAATCTGCTCCCAGTTTGGGGGATTAGGACTGGGCTGTCTGCTTTTGTCTGGTTCAGAAATGCAAGAATGTGTCCGCAAGGCTTGGGTGGGGCCTGGTCCAACCTTCCAAAGGAGCCCCTGTGTTTGCCCAGGGGCTGCGGATGATTTAGACTGACCTGACAGCTTCCAGATTTCCCAAGTGCAGATGCCAGCTGCCATTCTCCTGACCGCCCTGGTTACATAAGAGCGGGGGGTGGGGGGCAGGGTACAGTTGTGGTGAGTGTGCACGCAGCTCCCTGAAGATGCCCCATGGAGGCAAGATTGCCAAGCCTGGGGAGCCACAGGTCGGGACTGTCTATAGGAGGCCCCACTGTATGTGGGTCTGCCCTCCTGTTGAACAGCAGAGGAAGAGGACCATGAACCAGTACCAATGGCCAGGAATCTCCCAGGTGTGGTCACCTGAGGGCCAGAGACGCTTAGGCAGGGAGCGCTTGGGAAGCCCCTTTCCCTAAATTACAGGTGTTTGCTGGATGTCTGCTCAGGGGCAGGGTGGGGAGGTGGAGGCAGGTGTGGAAAACGCATCTGAACACTGCCCACACCTCCCCTGCTCACACTTCGGGCTCTGGGCCTCCCACTGGCACTGCCTGCCACCCTCACCTGCCAGCCATGTCACGTCCAGGGGTCCCTGCCTCCCTCCTGGATTGATTGCCTGGCCCCCTCCCTCCACCTGGAATACCCCTCCCTGTATCGCCGCCCACCAACCCTCGTCACCGTGCTTCCTCTCTTCCTCCATGCTGTTCTTCTCCAGAAGGTATATCAGCCTCTGACAGGCCATCTGTCAGCCACCACCTAGAATTTGCTTTGTTCACTGCTGAGTCCGAAGCACCTCAAGCACTGTCTGCCACCAATAGATACTCAATAAGTGAGTGATGTGATGAAGTGAAGAGAGAGAGTGTTTCAAAGTAATATGAAACCTGTAGTGGCTGCAAGATGCACAAGAAGCTGCAGGGCCTCTGATGAAGGTCCCACGGTGGGTGAGTGGGGAAATGGCGTCTGAGCTGAATAGGGGGTATTTAGGGATGGAACAGCAGGGAGGCTTGGATCAGCAAAAGCAGACGCACAGAAGCAGGAACAAAGTCACGTGTCATTGCAGTTATTAATAAGGTGCTATTAACAAGGGAATTGAAACTGTCAAGGGTGCAGATTTTCAGGCCCCGTGCTCAACGAGATCAGAAGCTCTGGCTGAGGCCCAGTCATTGGTGATCCTACAAGGCCTCCCAAATTTCCAACATCCATTGGATCATAGAAAAAGCAGGAGAATTCCAGAAAAACATCTACTTCTTCTCTATTGAAGGGGACGACAGAGGTTGAGATGGTTGGATGGCATCACTGACTCTATGGACATGAGTTTGAGCAAGCTCCAGGAGCTGGTGAAAGACAAGGAAGCCTGGTGTGCTGCAGTTCATGGGGTCGCAAAGAGTTGGACACAACTGAGTAACTGAACTGACTGACTCTGCTTTATTGACTATACCAAAGCCTTTGACTGTGTGGATCACAAGAAACTACAGAAAATTCTTCAAGAGATGGGAATACCAGAGCACCTAACCTGCCTCCTGAGAATTCTGTATGCAGGTCAAGAAGCAACAGTTAGAACTGGACATAGGACAACAGACTGGTTCCAAATAGGAAAAGGAGTACATCAAGGCTGTATATTTTCACCCAGCTTATTTTACTTATATGCAGAGTACATCATGAGAAATGCTGGACTGGATGAAGCACAAGCTGGAATTAAGATTGCTGGGAGAAATATCAATAACCTCAGATATGCAGATGACACCACCCTTATGGCAGAAAGAAAAGAGGAACTGAAAAGCCTCTTGATGAAAGTGAAAGAGGAGAGTGAAAAAGCTGGCTTAAAACTCAACATTCAAAAAATGAAGATCATGGCATCTGGTCCCATCACTTCATGGAAATAAATGGGGAAACAATGGAAACAGTGACAGACTTTATTCTCTTGGGCTCCAAAGTCACTGCAGATGGTGACTGCAGCCATGAAATTAGAAGACGCTTGCTCCTTGGAAGAAAAGTTGNCTTTAAGGAGTTGCTATAAGGAAATCTTATTATTTATTGTTTAATACCTGCTACATGTTACATATATAGATACATACATATATGCATTTACAAAACTATATTTTGTAAACTATGTATGTATGTATGTAACTATATTTTGGAACTCCTGGGAAGATTGATGGTAATGTTGTGAATATGAGAGATTTTACATTGGTCTGTGGCACAGAATTCAGTTTACATGTTTCAAGTGGTCAAGAAGCTAGGCTGAGGGCATAAAACCTGAGAAACTGCCCTAAGGGATGACTACAAGGTCTTTAGAAGGGAACATGAAGTTGTTAGGTGACAGCAGGTGTGACATGAGGCATTATTCCAGGGACGCATTGCAAAGTCGAGCTGCCTGTGGTCATCATGGCCACCACTCAGGCAGCGGTCATTTTGTGCTGTGACTGGACACATGGGGCCTCTGACGACAATTCTACAGGAAGGTGTCACCCCCCCCCCCATTTCATAAAGGGGGAACGGAGGCTCAAAGAACACTGGTCCAAGTTCTCATCACTCACAGGTGGTGGAACCAGCCTTTGGACCCACCAAAGCCCAGGCTGACTCACCCAGTCCAAGCCGTCTCCTTAGAAGCGAGGTGCAGCCAAAGCAACCCCAACGGGAAGTATCATATCCGTGCCCATTCCTCGTGGCGGGGCCCTCCTGCCCTCCTTCTGAACATTCTGATTCTCAGTACATAGCTGGTTCCAACCAACCTGGGGATCTGGTTCTAAGTGACTAGATAGAAAGAGGAAGGATGCCAAGGAGGAACAGCTGGGAAGAATAGCGAGAAAGATGCCAACCAGCAGGATCAATTAATTCCCTGTACAACAGCATCAAAGAGGAGAAGTAAATTTAAATTCAACAAAAGAAGTCTAAGAGTTATACACTGAAAATTGCAACACTTTGTTAAAAAAAATTAAAGATCTAAATAAATGAAATCACAGGGTCATGGATCAGAAGATGTAACATTAAGGTGACAATACTCTCCAAACTGATTTACAGAGTCAATACAATTCCTGTCAAAATCCCCCCCCCCTTTTTTTTTGCAGGAATAAAAAAACTGACCTTAAAGTTTGTATGTAAATGCAAGGGACCCAGAATAGACAGAACAGTCTTGAAAAAGAAGAATAAAGGTAGAGACTCAATTTCAAAACTATGACAAAGCTGCAGTGGTCAAGATGGTGATGCTGCTGGGACTTCCCTGCGGAGTTCAGTGGTTAAGACTCTGAGCTTCCCTGTGGTACATATACACCTTGGAATATTACTCAGCCATTAAAAAGAATTCATTTGAATCAGTTCTAATGAGATGGATGAAACTGGAGCCCATTATAAAAAACCACTGCAATGATGTAAAGTAATTAGCCTCCAACTAATAAAAATAAATGGGAAAAAAAATAAATAAAAGAAAAAATAAAAAAAAATAATACAATCTAAAAAAAAAAAAAAAAAGACTGAGCTTCCATTGCAGGGGGCACAGGTTTGATCCCTGATCAGAGAACTAGATCCAACATGCTGCATGGTGCAGCCAAAAAAAGAAGATTGTGGTGCTGACATAAAATAAACATTCAGATCAATGGAGGGGCTTCACAGGTGGCACTAGTAGTTAAGAATCCACCTGCTAATGCAGGAGACATAAGAGACATGGGTTCCATCCCTGGGTCAGGAAGATCCCCTAGAGAAGGAAATGGCAACACACTCCAGTATTCTTGTCTGGAGAATCCCATGGACAGAGGAGCCTGGTGGGCTACAGTCCACGGGACCACAAAGATTCAAAAACAACTGAAGCAACTTAGCATGCATGCATAGATCAATGGAATAGAGCTGAGTCCAGAAATAGACTGTTACACATATAGCCAACTGACTTTTGACAAGGCTGCCAAGACAATTCAGTGAGGAGAGGAGAGTATGGTCTTTCCAACAAATAGCACTGCACAATGGAATATCTACATGAAAAAGGATGAACTTGTACCCTTGCCCCACACCATATACAAAAATTAACTCAAAATGTATCATCCACCTAAATGTAAGAGCTAAAGCTACAAGAAAGTGTTAGTTGTTCAGTCATATCCAGCTCTTTGGGACCCCATGGGCTGTAGCATACCAGATTCCTCTGTCCATGGAATTCTCCAGGAAAGAATACTGGAGTGGATTGCCATTCCCTTCTCCAGGGGATCTTCCCGACCCAGGGATCAACCTGGGTCTCCCACATTGCAGGCAGATTCTTCACCGTCTAAGCCATATTTGCCTTTCATACTACAGAAAAACAGAGGAGTAAATCTTTATGTCCTTATGTCAGGCAACGGTTTCTGAGATACACGACCAAAAGCACAAGCGACAAAAGAAAAAAAAAAAGGTAAGTGGAACATATCAAAAGCTGAAGCGTGAGACTTCCCTGGTGGTCCAGTGGTTAAGACCCTGGGCTTCCAGTGCAGCAGAGTCCACTGAGATCCAGCGATGCACCTGTCATAAACTTCCAGATGCAGTGCAGTGTGGGGCTCACTGACCTAGAGGGCTGACTGCCAGGGCCTGAAGGGAGTGAGGGTGCCAGGGTGCATGGGGCAGGCTGGACTCAGCTTTGCCCAACAGCACTCCATTTCTGACCTGAGGGTTCCCTGTCCTGGGTTCCTCCAGTCAGCAGCTGGCCGCTGAGCCACTAGAGGACACTGGGACTTCAACGACTGTTTACAGAGCCTCTCCCGGGAGCAGCAAGGTGAGCAAGGCTGGCCGCATGTCCAGGAAAATGCAGGAAGGACCTTCTATCCACCCCGAGGGCTGAGACTTGGGTCGGAGAAGGTACAGGTTTGCAACCCTGGGAGGTAGTGGGAGCAGAAGGGCAGCTCCCTAAAGGGTGCTGCAAAGGTCCCCCACTGTCACCTGGCCCTGACCTTCACACCCGGCAGACTCCAAGGAAGCACCCAGGAAGCCCAGGCTGAGCCTGAACGAAGGGCAGCCCAGGGCTGGGGCCAGCCTGCAGCAGCAAAGTGCAAGTCACAGTGAACTGGGCGCCTGGCCTGAACCCCACCCGGAGCCCCTACACATCCGCTGGAGGGCAGGCTGCGGCCTGCCTGGCACCCCTGCTCCTCTGAGTGTGGGAAGCCGCACCCTGACTCCTAATGAACACATAGAGTGCACCCCATTGCACACCAAGCCTAATAATTACTCTAAAAGGGGCAAGTATCTGTTTATTTCTGCATGATGATCACACAGATATAATCTTGTGAACCTGCACAAATGTGATGACTGGTTTTTAGAGACGCCGGTTCCTTTCTCACTGAACCCGGCTTGCCTCTCCCTCCATCAGCGCCCTGCAAATTCCAGCATGTCGTGCCTGTATTTGTCCCAATCCTTAGATAACATCTGATAAAGTTAAACGTGCAAGACACACTGGCGGCTTTCCCGTTTTTAAGACAGGTTCTCACGGAACACGGGTTCTGATCCCCTGTGTTGTTGTGTTGCCTCTGGGTGGTGGGCACAATTCCCCACCACCCAGGCAGGGGACAACGGGGTCCACTCTGTCCCCTAAACAAAGTCTGATGTGACGGAACCAGAA